CCTATGCGGCCGATTGCACCTCCCCGCCACCGAGGCCGGTCGCCCCCGGTCCGCGCCTCCCCACCGCCAGCCCAGCTCGCGAGATTTTGCGGCAATGCACCGCCCCCTGCCTCCACCCGCGGTGATCTCACGGGGTAATGCACCCCCGCGCTCGCCTGGATCCGTCACGAAAATAGCAAAACAATGTGCCTCCCCCCATGGGGCCGGGCGCGCAGCATCCCTCTTAGCCGATTCACGCCCCCGCGCGGGGTGCCTGGCCGGCCGCTTCTCCTCGGATCTCACGGATGGGGACCCCCCTCGGACGGGATGGCCCCCCCCCCTTGTGCTCTCGCACCGCATGGTGGGCTTCCGCCATCTGCGCCCGCCGGCTCCGAAACCATTTGGCATGGTTTTCTGTTCATTGCGGGCGAGGCTCCCACAGTGGCGCCCAATTCGGCCTAGATGGGCCTCCTCCACCGGATGACCGGCGGGCTGTCTGGGGCGCTCGCTCCTTTGGGGTGCGTAGTGTGGGCCCAGGTCTGCAGATGGCTGGACGCGGGGCGGTTGTGCGTGCAGTGGGTGCGCGGCACCATGCGGCTCGCGGGTGCAGCCGTTGGGTGCACGAGTGGACGAGAGAAACAGAGGTACAGTCTAACGGGTGGTCGCCCCTTTGTGAAGGTGGCCCCAGCGCGGATCACATGACAATGCAGCCGCTGGGCCCATACGATAGTATCTTATCCCCAAATACGGTCCGGTAGAGGGAGTCTAAAGTACTAGATATATATCTATCAATAACTCCTCTACCGCTAACCCAATGGAGGTGGTTCAAGAACCTATGAGTTTCTAACAGGCTCTACTATCATATGATATATTCAATCGCATTTTTTATTATACTTTAGCCTCCCAGTAATCCAATTACTAGAGAAACATACTACCCCCTATGCTTTAGACCACAACAGGAAGACCACAGGGTGAATAGCATAAAGCATGGCTTTGCTAGAGTCGAGGTCCATAGTGTATCCCAATAGCAGTTATTAATGCATGGTTTTTAGAGGTTGAACGAAGGCAGAGCACTTGAATTGACACTCTTCTCGATTGATTCCTTAGGCAATCGTTTGTTTCCATCCATCGGGTTCATCGCCATCCATTGCTTTGCAATGCTCATGAACGTTGTCGTAATGTGGCTTATGCTGCGCGATTTAAAACAAATTTCTATTATATCCAGTGCTTCATAAATTAATTGACCCAGAATTCAAAATTATTATGAAGGGATGTGCGAGTAGGAGCATGACAAATGAGTGGCAGCCTTGGGGCCTCCTAAAGTAGGAATGCTACCAGCCTATGCATGAGATGCCCACCAAAACTATCCGCTGGAAATCAAGGCGAGACTCACCTTGAAAATATGTGAGGAGTATACACATCCCGTTGCCCTAGGCGAACGCAGCCTGTGAACCAATTGGTTTAAAATTGGGAAGGAGCCCACTGCCGGGAACAAGTTCTGACATCATTGCCCCACAGAATCCTGGCTCATTATCAGCACCCGTCGATGTCACCATGATCAAGAGCAATTTTAACAAATTTCTTTGATGCACACAATTATTTGTCGTATGTCCCACCGTCCAAACAATTCATAATGGGCAATTCTTTTTGCCGCGGGGATATATAACAAGGCAAGGGCACTGACTTAATACAAATTTTGTAGTGTGTCAAAGCTATGTGAGAGCCATGCAGGGACTAAACATGCGTTGGTCTAACACATTAAACATGTGGGAGTGACATCAAGATATCAAGACCACTGTACACTGTACAGTGTACAGTGGTCAAGCCATCACACATGTGACCATCGCATGACATGTGACGCATTGCATAGTTGTTAAAGTGTTTGCAACAATTCAACATGTTTGTAATGCCACTGCAGGTTAGGGACGGCTATTCACATGGTCAAAGCGAGATAACGATGGTAGGAATGATGAGAGACGTCAGGTTTTAGAGCTTGCACTGCTGGCAGACTCCTGCTACCGCACTGCTAGTTCCAAGCTGGAAGTCCAGCCCTTTGTTGTCGGCATTGAGGCTTGGTTCATTCTACAAATATGCAATACATGTTCTGCACAGGAGTAATGATTAGGGAGACGTGGGTGAATGCAGGCAATTAGCCAGGCACCCTGTGGGGTAATGGCAGCAATTGGCGCCTTGTCAGTTTTGCACTTACTGGGGAACATATATGCTTGAGCATGGGCCAAGGGATAATGAGTGTCTAGGCACACCTTCAATGAGATCCTGGGTGTGCTGTCAAAGGGGGCGGCCTTGGTGGCCATTCACAGGTCAGGTCAGCGGGTAGCACACATATTCAATGTGAGCTCAACGACCACCACGCGCGTTATTTTGCTCCCACCCGCCTGTCTTGAAAGGGTGATGTTGTTATTTTGGACTTTGTAAACTCCAAAGCAGGCAAATTATTTATGTATTTAATGGCTGTATTTACGTAGTTTTACGCCTTTTTGTGCGCAAAAAGTAAAAGCTATTTTTACAGGTAAAAACATAAATGCGATCAGTTGTTATGGCGTAAATAGCAAGCGTGCTGCAATGTACTCGGTTCTTGTATTTTGGCTTCAGTCGCGCCGCCTAACACACAATACAAAGTTGGCCATGGACAACAATTGTTTTGAGCGGTCATGGTGATGGGCACCAAGGATTGCAATGTTCAATGAACTTGGGCCAGTGTGCGTGTCTTGTGGGAAGACGATCCCGTCGAGCGGAGATTGTGACAACATCGAAGAAGCCCATCGCACGTTGAGGCGCAGGTTGGTGCACACGAGGGATTGCGGGTTGTGAATTGCTCAGCCGAGAATTTGATGCGAACCTTGGGTTTGCGGTGAACGCGGGCGCTGGTCGCGTCACATTGCGAAGCTCAGGAAAAGGTGCCGGCGATTCGTGTGATTCCTGGATTCAATCTCAAGGCCAGCGCACTGGCCTGTGCTGTCCCCACGGCGGGGTGGGGGGCACTGCGGGCTCTCCCATACAGGTGCGTCCTGCTGCAGTACTCTGGCCAAAGTGCAGGTACAGGTACCGGGCAGTACAGGTACTGCCTGCAGAATACTCCAACCACGCACAAGCCAGCACCGGCATGGATGCATGACACAGCCTTATCTTGGGGCCATCACCGAATGCTGGCGCACGCGCCACGCTCCCCCGGCGTCCGCCCCGCCATGGCAGCCTCCCGGCCCGACAGAGCTGCCGTCAGCACCGGGGACAACGGGGCACTGCCCGTGGCCGGCCCTCCTCCACCCTGCAAGGCATCCGCCGCCTCTGTGACCACCTAACCAGGGACAGACGAAGCACACCAAAACTGGGCACATGCTGCCAATCCCGAATCCCGTTGGGCGCATGTTGTAGATGTTGTAGATGTGGTAAATGTGGCGTGGGCACCCGCGCCGGCGCCAGTGAAGGCCAAATGCACCGGCCAGGTCGGGACCCGCGCACGGCTGCACCGGGCCCCGCCCCCTTGACGGGCCGTTGATGCGCCCAGCTGGATTGCTTTGGACCATCAGGGTGCTGCGGTGTGACCGGGCGGTGGCTCTGCAGCGCGTGCGCTGGGTCGCCGGGGTTCAAGGCGGATCAGTCATGTCAGGCATCAGGACCTGATGCCTGGTAGCTGTGAGGTGCGGGCATCATGCCGGCTGCCACCGCCACTTGCGGGCCGCGCCGAGGCGTGCCATGGCCCCCCCAGGCCCTCACGGCCTGGCCCTGGTCCTCCTTCTGGCTTCCGCGGTGCGCATCGCATTCTGCGATGTGTCCTTCACCATAGTGCACTTCAACGACGTGCACGGGCGGGTGGACCCATCGGAGGCGAGCTTCCAAGGGCAATGCGAGCCGGAGGCGCTGGAGGCTGGAGAATGCCTGGGCGGGTTTGCAAAAATGGCCACCGTGGTGCGACGGGAGAGGGGCAAGGGGGATGTTCTGGTGCTGGACGCGGGGGATGAGTTCATGGGCACGATTTGGACGTCGACGTACCAGGGGCGGGCCACGGCCAGCTTTCTGAGCGAGCTGGGCGTGGACGCCATGGCCCTGGGCAACCACGAGTTCGACTTCGGGCCCGGTGTGCTCGGCGCGTTCCTGGACAAGCTGGCGCTCCCCGCGCTGGGGGCCAACATCGACACGTCTAGGGAGCCGGCTCTGGACGGGAAGATTTTCCCCAGCGCGAAGGTGGAGGTGGCTGGGAGGACTGTGGGGGTGGTGGGGTTCATTTCCACGGACACGCCCCTGCAGTCGTCGCCGGGGGAGAATGTGGAGTTTTTGACCGACCTGGCTGCCGTGGTGCAAGGCGAGGTGGACAGGCTGAGGGAGGACAACGTCACGATCATAGTGGGGCTCAGCCACGCCGGGTTCGGCGTTGATGTGGACCTGGTTCCGCGGCTGTCGGGGGTGGACGTGCTCGTGGGCGGGCACTCCCACACGCGGCTGGAGGGGGAGGCGTACCCGACATTCGTCGAGGACAGGGACGGGGTCGGCGTGCCCGTGGTGCAGGCGTTCTGGGCGGCGCAGACGGTGGGCGTGCTCAACGTGACGTTCAGCGAGGACGGGGCGCTGCTGTCGGCAACGGGCGCCCCGGTGGTGCTGGGGGCCAACGCCAGCGATGCCACAACGTTCGTTGATGACGACGCAGACATGAGCGGCTTGATCGACATGTACAGGGGGGACGTGGATGCATTTAGGCACCTCGCCATCGGCCACACTGACGTCTTCCTGGACGGGCAGGTGGACAGCGTCCGGTCCAATGCCAGCAACCTGGGCGTCATGGTGTGCGACGCCATGGTGTGGAAGGTCAAGCAGTCCACGGGGTTTGAGGACGAATTTGGTGACGTGGACGTGTGCCTGCAGAACAGCGGGGGTATCACGGGGTCGGTGGACGAGGGGGAGGTCACCTTTGACGACCTCATCCGGGTGCTGCCCTTCGGGAACACGCTGGCCATCCTGAAGGTCACCCCGGCCGAGCTGTACATCGCGCTGGAGAACGGCGTCAGGCGGTGGCGCGGCGGGCAGGGGCATCCGGAGGAGTTTCCCCAGGTCACCGGGATAAGGTTCACTTTCTGTGACGAGATGGCGGAGTGGGAGAAGGTGGTTACGGTGGAAGTCTTCGACGGGGAGAAATTCGAGGCCGTGACGAGGGACGCCAACGAACCTGCGATCAACCTGGTGACCAACAACTTCATTGCACACGGCGGCGACAATTACACGGTGCTGAGGGATGCGGTGCAGTTGTTTCCCACCACCGGAGTCACCCTAGACTCAACACTGCTGGACTACATAATGGCGTTTTCGCCGGTGTCTCCAGAGGTGGATGACCGCATCCAACACGCATGCGCCACAGGCTAGAGGGCTCTCCAGCGCCGGATATTGATTTCCCAGGCGAATTCCCAAATGCGTGCATCAGCGAATTGCAAGGCTGCAGGCTGGTCACGTTTCTTCCAACGAACATTCCAGGAACTCCAAGTAGGGTCGACGTCTTGCTGCTGGCTCCATCCTAGGGTACTGTCCTGGAGTGAACGCCTTGCTGGAAAGAAGGTTAGCAGTCATGGGAAGTTGCCTTAAAGAGCAAGGGCAGGTTCGTATTGCATTGGCGTGGTTGCCAAAGAGCGACGTCAGGGGATCCCTAGAAGTCGATCATGGGCTGCTCAGCCCCGGAGGGCTTTGTCGATGGGACACCGGCTAATGCCCCCAAGCACTCCTTCAGTCAGGAGTGCTTGACACCATTCAAAAGGGTTGCACCTCTCACAATGCAGAGAATAGTGAGCAGAGGGAAATGAAATACCTTCACGGTGTATTCCTGTGGGGTGCAGGCAGCCAAATGGGTACTCGAATTGTTGAACAGCCAATAGTGGCATGGGTGGGAGGGATTGTGGCAGCTTGTTCCTTGACAGGTTCAAGATGTCATGCCATCCGTTTGCCTCCCATGCTTTTAGTGAACGAGTGTGACTATTTATGAATCGTTTGTCAAACGGCTGCACATGGAGAGGAATGTGTGGCACCCCGAAACGGCAAATGACTTTGGGGCTTGACAGCCACCCACTGACACCATGAGCATGCGCCTGTCCTTTATTTGAGTTGGCATATGCTGGTGGGTGCTCTTGGCCAGTCATTGCTTCACAGGGTGCCAAACTGGCCTGGCGCAGTCGGACGCCTCTAGCCGACCTGTTTCGGATGATAATACTGCAAAATCGAATTGATGTTTTCTGTTTCCTCATGGGCCAGATGGATTGTAGGATGTATGGAATGTAGGATGGTTTTGTTGATTTAATTCCCTGCAGAGATGCTACGGAACCACAGTTGCTGTGTTGTTCTGAATTGTTGCCATGGTATCCTGAGACGCAATCTTGCTGAGTGCTGCCATATCCTCTCGACGCTCAGCCACCTCAATTGTGTGTGAGCAATTGTGTATGTGCATGGCGAAACTGAATGGCAATGCTTTGTCTTTGCTGTTGTTGCTTTTGTATCCCCCATTTCCCCATGCGGGGAGATCATGCGGCACATGTTCAGCGTGTCCAGCTTGCTCTTGAATTTTCATGGATGCGCCCCAGGAAGAAGCTGCACAAAGCTGAACATTCCCGGTATGCCATACCATTCATCATTTGCCTGTGTACATAAACAAGTTTGGCAAGAGTACATAAGAAGATCCAACGTCCACTCTTTTTTGTGTACACCTCCCTTGCTGCTTCCTCATCAGTGTCAATCTTATGTCAACACCCGTATCTTACAAGATAACAAACGGCTCGACCGAACATATTGGGAGTTTTGGGGGGCCGCTCGCAGGGCTTAGGGCTGAAATTCTCTTGAAAATTGGTAGTTATTTGGAAATTCTGACCTTTTTCGTGACGCCACATAATTAGCACCGTTACACTGGGCGACTCTTCTGTAATGGGCTCATGACGGGTGTCGACCATATGCGCGGTGCACACTGCATGGGATGGCCTGAGTAAGCCACCATTGCCGATGGCAGGAAAAAGAACAAATGAAAAGAAACAAAAAGTGAATACACTGTTGAAACTTATGGGGCTACTATGCCCTGGGAGTGAGTTTCACCGAGGAAGGTGAGGGAAGTAGGAGCTGACCAGAGCAAGTCGCTTGTGCACTCAATAAGTTCATGTCACTCTTCAGCTCTCCAGACTGATCAGATCAAAGACAAATCTCGGGGTTCCTGAGCCACAAGGGCCCAGACAATGGGGGCACATTGGGCTGGCCGGATCAGTGACGCCTTGGTTAATTTTTGCGGACCATGCAAATAGCCAAACCGATCTTTGTGTGCAAGGGAGGCACATGGTTGTTTTTTTTATGAATTATAGGGTTTCACGTTATTGACAAAATTACGTTCAGGTTGAAAACTGACTTGGAATGTACTTGTGGCATAGGGCTCGCGTGACTGATATGGTTACCGCTGCATACCAGTGAGCACGTGCATCACTGAGTCCTCATATCATGAATGGTTACATCTTGCACTCCTGCATGATTGCAGTGCATGAGTGAAAGGCTAACAAGACCGAAAAAAAGTTCCTGACATACATGCCGTGCTTTGGGCGAGGGGTCATGTCAGTAACTCTTAGGGAGGCTGGCACCTTATCAACTCGAACGGTCACATGTTTTCATCCCACCACTGCCAAAAAGTACTGTATGTAAACAGGAACGCAGATGGATTCATGAACAGCAAGAAAATGTAGATTTGGTTCTGGAGAATGAAAGGGAAGGATGGAGAGCGTTGGTCACTTTTTGATTGGTGAGCTGGAGTGCACACAAAGACAAGCTTCTAAAGGACAAGGAGCGTGAAGTGGAGGAGAGTGGCAAAATTGTCACCATCTTGATCAGACAGACCTACCTTACCCTAGAAGAAATAGCGTATTAAACCATTTCTTTCTTATACATTTTGCACAGCTGCAACATGTGCCATGAAACCAGCCAATGGACACCCGGTTTTTCTTTTTTGGCCTTGTACTCGGGTTGGTGAGGCTGTCTCAGTACTTTAGAGCCAGCAATGAGCGAGGGTACTGGGGAATGCCATAAATGAAGTTAATTATCCTGTTAATGTGTTTCTGCCAAGGGCGACGATGGGTGGCCTGCGCTGGTGATTAAAACAATACAGTTTTGGACCCGGGGCTTACTCAACCCCCGCCTGTTAGGATTTCTGGCCACCCTGGTACCGTGGGTTAGTCAAAGTACGAAAATACGAGGTGCTGCCATCTTTGACGCCCTTGGGTTTGGCAGGCTTTGGTGGGGAAGAGAGGGGCGGCTATTTAGGCTCCCCCCTCGGTCCCCCTCCTTATCTTGTTTCGCTTTGTACCACTTCGTTGGCATAACCCGAAGGCACCGAGTGCCTTGCCCTCCCCGGTTGCCGGCCGAGCTCTATCTATGAACCGCACTCTGGCTGAGTAGTGGCTGCATCACCAAGCGGTTTGGTTCAACGACAGTCCGCCTACAACTTCTATCAATGAAGTCTGGCTGTCCAATCCCCGGTTGTTACTGCAAACGGTGACCAACCCGGTGGTCCGACCACCCGGGTTCGTTTCCCCGAGTGGTTCCACATCCGCCAGACCTCCGAAGGCGGACAGCTCGTGTAGGCCCTGGGCACAAACTCTGGTTACTTCCAAAAGTACCAGAACTGGGCTCCCTACATTGTGTGGAAGTTCGACCTGACAACCGCACTGATTGACTTTTTGGCACACCCCAATTTCCTGCCAAACTTCCGTGAGGCCTTCCTCATGTATGTCCACGCCCAATTGACAATCCCTTCATGCCTACAAAGCCTCGTTTGCCTGCAGCAAGTCCACGGCGAGCAGAAGGGAATCTCCCTCGATGGATTGTGGAAGGCACTACAAACCAACATATGCTTGGGCGCCATGCATTGCCGGCTCTAGGACCCCCTCATTGACGAACCTCTCCAACACATCTGCAAGGAGGTCGGACCTCCTTGAGGACTCCTCAATCAACAGCTAAAGTTGGTGATGAAGTCCGCAGTAGCCTAGCATCAGGCACAACTCAATTGCCAACCTTCCGTGGCCATGCTCCCCATTGTATTGATCACCGGAGCCAAGCATTCCTATGGAAAACCCAAGACGTCCGGAGCGCCTCTGCCATCTCCCAGGCCGTCCATATAGTGGACCCACCATATGACTGCCTATGGGGTCGCTTAGCTGCATGGAGATGGATCGGCGCCCCATCCTGCATCCTCCGATGGATCCATACAGGGGCTCCGCTGTAGTGGGGCCCGGGGCCCCCTCTGCCCACCTTCGATCAAGGTGAGTCTCTACTGAAGACTACCAAGGAGTGGAGAAAGTGGAGGGAGTTGCCCGACGAGTACCTTGTGATAGGGGCGATCGTCCAGGTGGCACCTTCTTCAAATGCTCAGATTTCACAGATTTTTTGGTTGCCAAGCCCGCAGAGAATGGCAAGACCAAGTTTGCTTGGCTATCGACCTGCGGCATATCAATTGCCACTTCCAAAAGTTTGGTTTGCGGTATGAAGCCTAAAGGACTTCGGGTTTCTTTTGAAAAAGAATGACTTTCTGGTTGAATTCAACATCAAGAACACTTATCATCTGTTCGATTACAGTCAAGCACGTGTAAGTTAATGGTTACCATTGTAATCAAGAGAAAACCGTGGAGAAAAGAAAGGGAAATATGCTCAACAGGTTTTGCTTTGGACCACATGTCATACGGTTACATTTGGTGGTCCTGCAACTACGTCATGCTTAAGGCAAACGTATGCACGTTCAATTTTCCTCCAGTGCTCATGAATCAATGCATTCGCATCATATGCATCCTCCATCTCGCTATTCTGCCGTGTTGCTCAGCAGGACCATCCCAAATGATCGATATTTGGACCAATTTAAGATCAATCGATGGGAAGCACGGTCAGCTACGGCTGTATTGTCATTTTGCCAAGGAAAAGGGCAGAAACTAATCTAGTTAGACACTTAGATTGACGGGAGGCAATACAATTTTGAGTCACACATTTCCAGTACACAGATTTGAGGTTATGGGTACATCAAACGGAAAGAAAGAGACTGTAATGTGTACAGGCCCAATGGAAAGCACCCTTGGAAAAAGGCTGGCCTATTCGTAGGGAGCCTTTCGGTGACTTTCACAGAGAAAGAAGGCTAAATTCTGGACCCTTTTGAGGAGACCATGGATCGTAGGGGTTGTCCTTCAATGGACCTGAACTCAGAGCTGGGCCCGGCCAAATGGCATAGGAACGGGAACGGGAACGGTGTCCATCCCCGTCCCAGGAACGGACCCGTCCCCGTTCCTGTCCCAGTCCGTCCCAGTCCGTCCCAGTCCGTTCCAGTCCGTTCCTGGGCCGCTCCTCAGGAAAGGATTTGGGTCGGATCT